TGGTCCTGAGCAGGAGGGTTTCAGTGCAGCGGTCCTGATGGAGGAGGGCTTAATGCAGTGGTCCTGATGGAGGAGGGTTTAGTGCAGTGGTCCTGGTTTAGTGCAGTGGTCCTGATGCAGGAGGGTTTGAGTGCAGCGGTCCTGATGCAGGAGGGTTTAGTGCAGTGGTCCTGATGCAGAAGGGTTTGAGTGCAGTGGTCCTGATGCAGAAGGGTTTGAGTGCAGTGGTCCAGATGGAGGAGGGTTTGAGTGCAGTGGTCCTGATGGAGGAGGGTTTAATGCAGTGGTCCTGATGGATGAGGGTTTAGTGCAGTGGTCCTGATGGAGGAGGGTTTGAGTGCAGTGGTCCTGATGGATGAGGGTTTGAGTGCAGCGGTCCTGATGGAGGAGTGTTTAGTGCAGTGGTCCTGATGGAGGAGGGTTTAATGCAGTGGTCCTGATGGAGGAGGGTTTAGTGCAGTGGTCCTGATGCAGGAGGGTTTGAGTGCAGTGGTCCTGATGGAGGAGGGTTTGAGTGCAGCGGTCCTGATGGAGGAGGGTTTGAGTGCAGTGGTCCTGATGGAGGAGGGTTTGAGTGCAGTGGTCCTGATGCAGGAGGGTTTGAGTGCAGTGGTCCTGATGGAGGAGGGTTTAATGCAGTGGTCCTGATGGGGGAGGGTTTAGTGCAGTGGTCCTGATGCAGGAGGGTTTGAGTGCAGTAGTCCTGATGGAGGAGGGTTTGAGTGCAGTGGTCCTGATGGAGGAGGGTTTGAGTGCAGTGGTCCTGATGCAGGAGGATTTAGTGCAGTGGTACTGATGGGGGAGGGTTTGAGTGCAGCGGTCCTGATGCAGGAGGGTTTGAGTGCAGTGGCCCTGATGGAGGAGGGTTTGAGTGCAGTGGTCCTGATGGATGAGGGTTTGAGTGCAGCGGTCCCGATAGAGGAGGGTTTGAGTGCAGTGGTCCTGAGCAGGAGGGTTTTAGTGCAGTGGTCCTGATGGAGGAGGGTTTAGTGCAGCGGTCCTGATGCAGGAGGGTTTTAATGCAGTGGTCCTGATGCAGGAGGGTTTGAGTGCAGTGGTCCCGATGGAGGAGGGTTTGAGTGCAGTGGTCCTGAGCAGGAGGGTTTGAGTGCAGTGGTCCTGATGGAGGAGGGTTTAGTGCAGCGGTCCTGATGGAGGAGGGTTTTAGTGCAGTGGTCCTGATGCAGGAGGGTTTGAGTGCAGTGGTCCTAATGGAGGAGGGTTTGAGTGCAGTGGTCCTGATGGAGGAGGGTTTAGTGCAGCGGTCCTGATGGAGGAGGGTTTAGTGCAGTGGTCCTGATGGGGGAGGGTTTGAGTGCCGTGGTCCTGATGCAGGAGGGTTTGAGTGCAGTGGTCCTGATGGAGGTGGGTTTAGTGCAGTGGTCCTGATGGATGAGTGTTTAGTGCAGCGGTCCTGATGGAGGAGGGTTTGAGTGCAGTGGTCCTGATGCAGGATGAGGGTTTGAGTGCAGTGGTCCTGAAGGAGGTGGGTTTAGTGCAGTGGTCCTGATGGAGGAGGGTTTGAGTGCAGCGGTCCTGTTGCAGGAGGGTTTGAGTGCAGTGGTCCTGATGGAGGAGGGCTTAGTGCAGTGGTCCTGATGCAGGAGGGTTTGAGTGCAGCGGTCCTGATGGAGGAGGGTTTAATGCAGTGGTCCTGATGGAGGAGGGTTTAGTGCAGTGGTCCTGATGCAGAAGGGTTTGAGTGCAGTGGTCCTGATGGAGGAGGGTTTGAGTGCAGTGGTCCTGATGCAGGAGGGTTTGAGTGCAGTAGTCCTGATGGATGAGTGTTTAGTGCAGAGGTCCTGATGGAGGAGGGTTTAGTGCAGTGGTCCTGATGGAGGAGGGTTTGAGCACAGTGGTCCTGATGGAGAAGGGTTTGAGTGCAGTGGTCCTGATCGAGGTGGGTTTGAGTGCAGTGGTCCTGATGGAGGAGGGTTTGAGTGCAGTGGTCCTGATGCAGAAGGGTTTGAGTGCAGTGGTCCTGATGGATGAGTGTTTAGTGCAGTGGTCCTGATGCAGAAGGGTTTAGTGCAGTGGTCCTGATGCAGGAGGGTTTGAGTGCAGTGGTCCTGATGCAGGATGAGGGTTTGAGTGCAGTGGTCCTGATGGAGGAGGGTCTGAGTGGAGCGGTCCTGATGCAGGAGGGTTTGAGTGTGTCGGTCCTAATGCAGGAGGGTTTGAGTGCAGTGGTCCTGATAAGGAGGGTTTAGTGCAGCGGTCCTGGTTTAGTGCAGCGGTCCCGATGGAGGAGGGTTTGAGTGCAGTGGTCCTGAGCAGGAGGGTTTGAGTGCAGTGGTCCTGATGGAGGAGGGTTTAGTGCAGCGGTCCTGATGCAGGAGGGTTTTAGTGCAGTGTTCCTGATGCAGGAGGGTTTGAGTGCAGTGGTCCTAATGGAGGAGGGTTTGATTGCAGTGGTCCTTATGGATGAGTGTTTAGTGAAGTTGTCCTGATGGAGGAGTGTTTAGTGCAGTGGTCCTGATGGAGGTGGGTTTGAGTGCAGAGGTCCTGATGCAGAAGGGTTTGAGTGCAGCGGTCCTGATGCAGGAGGGTTTGAGTGCAGTGGTCCTGATGGAGGAGGGTTTAATGCAGTGGTCCTGATGCAGAAGGGTTTGAGTGCAGTGGTCCTGATGGAGGAGGGTTTGAGTGCAGTGGTCCTGATGGAGGAGGGTTTGAGTGCAGTGGTCCTGATGAAGTTGGGTTTGAGTGCAGTGGTCCTGGCACATCCTGGGCTCCTCGGGCAGGAGCAGATGAGCCAAGCAAGTGAGCGGAGAGCAATGTATGATTCAGAAGGGAGGGTGTGTGGTGGCGGGGGCATTAGGGCGCTGATCTGGCCTCAGCCTGGTCTGAACATGGAGCCTGCAGCATTTGCTGGGGCGTTCACTGAGGCATGCTTGAGAAAGAAGCGGCAGCAGCGATGACCGTTATGTCCCAGTTTGTGCGTTTGTCAGGGACAGAGATGCTCGGGCAGACAGGGCGGTAGGACCAGGCTGTGCAGGCAGCCCATGACATGGTTCAACACAGAAGTGAGAGGGTGTAGGCAAGAGTCTGGGATTGGTGTGTTGTGGGTGGGGTGTGGGAGGCTGCTGTGACAGCCACAAACAGTGAAGCCACACCGATGGGAGCCACATGCTTTCCTAAAGGGATGGGGACTCTGCCGGGTTCCCTTTGTGTACCCCTCCAGAAGGGCTTCCTCAGAGAGGCAGAGGCAGCAGCGGTGGCCGGCCAACCAGGAGGAAAAGGGCCAGTATCGGGGTCCCGGAATGCAGGGAGAAGCTTCCAGAAGACAGGGGTCACATCGGCTCAAGGCTGTGGAGGAGTTGGAGGAGATGACTTCTGACAAGGGATTACTGGATTTAGCAACTTGGGGAGGAATTAGAGACCTGAGTGGGGAGGGAGGCAGCGGAGAGAGGCATCCACAGCTGCTCTGGAGTTCTGCTGAAAGGAGAGGTTAGACACAGCCCAGGAGCCTGAGGCCAGCAGCCGCCAGCGGCAGTCTTCTCTTTGCCCATCAGGCCCAGGGTTGGGCCCTTCTGTGCTGGGATGCTGACCAATCCTGTGGACACGGGGCAGGTTGCTCCTCCCTTCTGGCTGGGACCCAGCTCTCTGCAACTAAACCCCGCAGTCCAGGAGCTCGCTCTCCAGTGGCCTGACCTGCTTCTGTACTGGATTTGGGACGTTTGCGACAGGATGGGCACACCCATCCACACAGGGCAGGGCTTCATAACTTTATATGGCCGCCCCCACCCCCAGCCCCAGCCCAAGGGTTGTGGCAATATACAGCAATTAGGGTCCGGGAGGGACAAGAGGAAGGACCGCCTGGCTTGAGCAGCCTGGCAGCTCCTGGCACTTGTGACCCACTCGAGTCCAACCTAGCTCTGGCAGGCTGCTTCCTCAGCCCCCACCTCTGCCTGCAGAGCCACAAGCTTCCTCCCAAAGCCCCCAGCCAGGTCCCAGCTTTGCTTCCACGTCAGGAGCCATGCTGGGCGAGGTGGGGCTGGAGCAGGCTTTGTGGCCACTCAATCCAAGCTAATTTCCTGTGGTAACCTTGGACTCAAACGCCCCCGTGACTTGGGCTCCCAGCAGGAGAGGTCAGATGGGAGCCATGCCTTGGTCCCGCAATGCCAGATCACCCTGCAGGGCTGCCTGGCTGGGTGGCAGCGGTGGCTCCGATTGTGCTGCAGAGCTTGGCTGTCGGGAAAGCTCTTTTTATTTTAGCTGCGGAGCACAAGTCTGTTTTCATTGTAGAAAATAAGGAGGGTGGGCAACGGCAGAGGAAGTAAAAGCCGGGGGCCTGCTTCGCAGCCTGTGACGTACGGGCACCTGAGGGGGTCTGCTCCACGTCCTGGCCAGCTCCCTGCTAAGGCCGCTCCTCCACGGTGGGAAAGCAGTGGGAAATGCCCCCCTGTGCGAGACCCTGGTGGACTCCTCGGCTTCTGGCCTTGGCCTGGCCCGGCTTCCACCCGTGGCCATGGGGGAGATTTCTATCTCTTCCAAAAGCAAACTGCCTGGATTTCAGCAGGTAGAGCTGGCCTCCGTCGCCGTCTGGGGTTTTCTGGTGAGTTCTCTGACCCCAGGCCCGGCTGGTCCCTGCAGCCGGATGCCCCGAGCTGGACACTTGCCGGAGAGGCCCCGAGCTTTGTGCGGCAGCCCGGGTGGGCCTGCGTGCTTTCCCACAAAGGCCACAGGGCCCCGTTCCGGGAAAAAACGACCTTCAGGGTTTTTTTGGTTTTGTTTTGTTTCTGTGTTCCGCCACCCCCGGCTGATTTAGACAGCGCCATCGTTGGGGGCGGGGGCGCGGGGCTCCAGACCCGAGGGCCGCTGGCCGGGCCTTCCGCGTTGACCTCATCCGGCCGCGGAGCACGGGGCGCCCACAGCGAATCGCCGGCCCGGCCCTCAGGGAACGCCCCGCCGCCTTCGCCCGCCGCCGCCGGGGGACGAGCGACAGCCTCGGCCGGGGCTGCGCGACCCGGGCCGCGCCCGCCCGCACCCTGCAGGCCGCGGCACCGTCGGCGGCCGCCGCCTCTGCCGCTCGCCGACCGGCCGCGCCCAACGGCCGCCGAAGCTTCTGGAAGCCGCACGCCGGGGGGAAGCCCCCGCCGCGGGCGCCACGAGCAGACGCCGACGCGAGGCCGCCGCGGCCGTGGCGGCCCGGGGGGCGGGGCCGGCGCGGGGGCGGGGCCGGCGCGGGGAGGCCGCGTCCGATTCGCCCCCGGCGCGCAGGCCCCGCCTCGCCGGCGCCATGGCTCCGCCTCCGCCCTCCCCCTCCATGGCGCCTCCCGGGCTCATTCATTCGGCGCCGGGCCTTGTGGACACCTGCGCGCTCCTCCCGCCGCCGCCCGCCGCCGCCGCCAGCATGTCGGCCCCCGCCGCCGAGACGCCGTCCGCCATCCAGATCTGCCGGTACGAGTCGGGCCCGCGCGGCCAGCGGCGCCGGGTGGTCCCCGGGGCCCGCCCGCAGGGTCCACGACCCCCGGCCCGCCGAGGCCCCAGCTCGGGAGGGCTCCCCGCTCGGGCCGTCCTCGGCCTCCGGAGGCTGGGATGCGCTCGGGATGCTGAGGGAGAGGGCGGCCCGGGGGGCTCCTCCCATCACCTCTCGGCGCATCCCAAGGGCGGCGGCCGTTGGAGGGAGGAAGCGGGCGGAGTCCGGGCCGCGACGGGGGCTGGCTGGCGAGGGGCGCCCCGCCGCGGCGCGGACACCTCGGACCCCGGCAGAGAGTCGGGGTAGCGCCTTGGGCTGAAGCACCCGGCGCCGCCCGAGCCCACGGAAGGAGGGGGCGCACACACACACATCCGCGGCGGGGTTGGGGGGGGCAGGTGTGCAGATGGAGAGCAGATAACGCGCTGGTTGGCCTGGAGCAGGGCAGGGCTGCGCCTGGACCTCCCCGAGCTTCGCACACAATAGAAGAAAGGGGTCCCCTCCGCGCCCCCCACCCTGGAGGCGCTGCAGGAAGCTGGAGGAAGGGCCAGCGGCCTCAAGGTTACCGCTCCCCAGGAGCTAACGAGGGCGAGGACGATCTCGGCCGCTGGAGGGCTGGGCGCGCCGCTGACCTTGGGGCCCAGCGTGTCCACCCGAGGCCAGTCACTTTCCTGAGGGCTGTCGCTGCAGGTGCCGTGCGGAAGGAGCCCCTGCCCCAGCCCACCTGGTTGGCTGGCTGGCTGGCTGGCTGGGTCCAGACCCTTTCTTTGATCTCAAGGTCAATGTTGACTACCCCGGTGGGCAGGTCTGATGGCCGGTGGGGACGGCAGGTCGCAGAGGTGGCACGGCCTTGGGCTGGGAACCCTGGGCATGGTGGGTTGCCAGGGGTCAGGACTCACCTGCAGCTGCCTTGGTGTCCCACTGATTGGGCAGTGCCCCCCACCCTGGAGCTGTGTAGGGGCAACAGAGACCTCCCCAGACCCAGTGCACTTACACCCAGTCTCTGGAATAAGGAAAATTCTAGATCTGTCTGTGAAAGGCTGGGCCTGGGTTCAGTTCTTCAGGGTGGGGAATGGTCTGTGTCTTGTTTTTGTCCCCCAGCCACAGACAGCAGCTAGCGCATTCCCACATGGCTCTGGGGGCTCTCTCGTGTCAGCTCATCTGTGTGCTTGACTTGTGCGCTGTACCTGCAGAGCTGTGCCTGGTCTCGGAGTGACTGCCTTTGCTCAGGGGTCCTGGGGTTTGGACACCTGTCTAAAGTGGACCTGTCAAGGGGATGAGGGTGCTGGGAAGGGGGCTGGTCAGTTGGGCTTCAACCAGAAAAATTACAGGATGCCCAAGGTGGAGGTACTGGAGTGGGGAGCCCTTTAAGAACATCCGAGCCAACCTCCTGCCTTGAAAGTGGAGCCGCCTGGTCCAGCACAGCCTGGCCCATGAATTTAACAAGAAGACTTCGCTGGGTACTGCAAGGAGCCCTGAGGGGAAGCTGACCTGGGAACAGTCCGGCCCTGCCCTGCAGGGGTCACAGTCCAGCAGGGAGGCCATGTCCAACCCCTGTCCTGTTAACAGGGTGATGGCTGCTGCGCACCGAGAAGAAGCCAGAAGCAGTGCAGGGCCGAGCGTGGCAGCCGCGCAGCTGGGGGACCTCTGTCCCTGCCCGCTGTGTGACCTGAAGCACACGGGTTGGCCTTGCTGCGCTTCCCGTTTTCTGGCTGCTGGTTCTGTGTTCAGTCACAGCAGGTCCGGGGCAGCAGGGTCTGCACACCTCACGCCCAGTCAGTCATGGGAGCACCTTTGTTCAGGTCCCAGCTGAGGCTCTGGGCGTCTCTCGGTATCTCCCTGGAACTCAGTGTTCCCGGCTGTGAGTCGGAGAGAGGGACAGTGCTTGTTTTGGGGTGTTCTAAGGACGCACACCTGTGGCCCCACCTGGCGTGTGGAGGTGAGTTCACAGGACTTTGGAGGTGAGGCCGGTGCGTGACCTTCACTCCTTCCTTCATTCCGATCCAGAGATGCGGCTTGTGGACAGCAGGTGAAGTCTCGGCAAAGCCTTTTCCTTTGTTTTACTTTGAGTAATGATGATGTGTACTGAGTGAAGGACTTTTTCCTTCTTTGGCATGTCAAGTTGTGGGGCAGGTGCTTGGCCCAGGGTTGGGATACTCACGTGTTGTGTCGAAGTACCTGGTTTGAATCCAGGCTGCTCTGCTTTCAGTGCAGCTTCCTGATAAGGCACAGCCCGGGAAGCAGGTGATGGCCCCTCACGTGGCAGACCCACCCAGGTTGAGTTCTGAGGTCCTGGCTCAGCCTGGCCCAGCCCTGGCTGCTGTGGGCACGTGGGGAGTGAGCGGTGGCGGAGAGATGTCAGCTGACCTGCTGTTCCTGTGTGTCTCTGCCTCCAAAACGAAGTGATAAAGACAACAGGAAGTCAGCAGGTGTCAGATGGTAGCTGAGGTGCTTCAGCCCAGTTCTCTCATTTCACAGATGTGAAGACTGAGGCTGGGGGGTTAGAGTACCTGACCAGGGCTGGCCCAGGTACTGGACTGGCTGAGGTGGCAGGAAGCCCCAAGGGTGGTCTCCTCCCCACCCCCAGGGCTGTGAGGGTGTTTATGGAAGTGAAGGTGAGGAATTGTGAGGGGCTGTGACAAGCGGTCTGCTGGTGCAATCTGGCAGAGCATTGCTGTCCTGTGGTGGTAGGAGTGTCCCCCGGCTGCCCCATGCTGCAGGGTCACCGACTGTGCCAGCTGAGCACCAGGAACGTGGCTGGGAGGCACGCACTAGTGGGCACTGCGTACTACTCACCCCTGAAATTGGCTTAAGGTTTAGTTATATTTATTTGAAGGACAGAGCAGGAGAACAAGATTTCCTCTTGTGTCTGCTGGTTCTCTCCCCAGATCCCTGCAGGAGTGAGCTGGCTCAGTCGGGAGCCAAGGAGCTCCAGCCAGATCTCTGGCGTGGAGGCAGGGACCAAGTGCTTGCGCTGTCATCTGGTCACTGCAGGTGCACGTTAACAGGAAAAGCAGAGCCACGGGCACTTCCACCCCAGCGTGGGGTGCAGGCGTTCCAAGACTAGACCAGGAGCTGAATGTGTGATTGTGTTCATTTTTCTGTATTTATATGTAAGTGCAGGCTTATGGGCGATGTGGTACATACAGGAATTAAGAAATGAGAATGCAGGCTAGAGCGTTGGGCAGGATCTTCCTGGGGACGACAGGTGGGACAGAAGTAGGGGGCTTGGCTAACAGGCAGACAGCCTTAGGGTCCTTGGCTTGTAGAGGGGGTGGGAGAGCTGCGATCTGCGAGACCTTTTGTTTTTTTGCATGTCCTGTTCCTGTACACACATGTACCAGGAACTTTACAGGGTTATGAATGGTTTTGTGCTCTGTGGTACCAGAACCGCCCTGACAATTGCCTGGTGCTCAGAGGATGTGCCAGTTAACATGAGTTGGTAGACTGGGCATACAAACTGGTCTCTCCACTTCACCGGCTACTTTTGGCTGGTGGGGGCAGGGGTGTAGCCTAGCCTGACTGTTTAAAGGTAGCTGGCACTATCTTGGCTTGGGCAGCCAGTGTGCCAGTGGTGCCAGGCTTCACCCGCTGGCTGCCCAGCGATGAGTTCTGGGGATTTGGGCATATCCGTGGAAAAGGCCACCTTAAGTGTAGGTGAGGAATGAATGCCGAGGGACTCCCAGTGACAGGGCTGCTGTATTTGTGGGTAAGCAGGAGGATTGAGACCTGGTGGTTTAGAGGGGAGAGACTGCAAGATCTGTATGGGTCAGACTGATGCACCAGCCCACATGGGAGTCCTGGGATGGGCTTGTTAGCATGGAACATTGCTGACCATCACACACGAGCCCACAGGAAAGCTAGGGCTGGGGGCCTGTCTAGTAGGGCTGGAGCCCAGTAACTGACTGCGTGCAGGAATGGGCTCATTCACATTAGGCAGGGCCATGACACTAACCAGCAGGCAAGAGAACCAGGTCCAGGGGTAGATTCTGTGAAGGGGTATGTGGGTCTAACCCTATGGAAATAGAAGTCCTGCTGGTTAGCTTAAGTGTTGTGGTGGTGATGGGCTGAGCTAAGTGTGACCATGAATCTGCCAACACTCATGGGTACAGGGACCGAGAATAGTGTGGGCAGGTCCAGGCTGCAGCACCCACATGTGCATCCTAAAACAGGGTGTGGGGTGGGCTGGGCTGCAACATTCACCTGCTCATACAAAGGCCAGGATGGAGGGGCAGGCTATGCCGGGCAAGGGTCTAGCACCTCTGGCATGTGTGAGATCTGGGGCTGGGAGTGGGCCAAGTGGGGGCCTACTTGTATTTCCACAGGGTTAGACCCACGTACCCCTTGGGAAGCCCCCCTAGTGGGTCATAGCTCCCGCTGGTGGGCATGTGGTCCAGGTCTGGGGGTCATGCAGGCTGGGAAGGTAGTTGCATTCATTGGCAAGTGTGTGGACTGGCTTTGGAAGGTGGTAGACCGGACCAGGCCAAACAAACCTTAGTTCACTGGCAAGTGCAGAAACCAGACTGGACTACAGGTCATGTCAAGCTAGGCTGTCGCACCTGCTGGTTTGCATGAGCCAGGGATGGGAGCAGACTGAGCAGGGCCAGCTTCCAGCACCCACCAGTGAGAGTTGGGATTGGGGGTAGGCTGGGTCACGCCAGACTACAGCATCCAAAGGCAAAGGCCAAGACAGATGAGGGACTATGTCAGGCTGCGTTAGAGCAACCACTGGATGGGCTAGGCTACACTGTAGCCCCCACCAGCATGAGCTGGAATTGGGCTGGGGCCAGGCTGGGCCAGGCTACAGCACCTACTGGCAAATGCCAAGGTGAGGTGGCCATGCCAGACTTGGCTGCAGCACTCAACTAGCACATGTGAGACCCCAGGAGGAGAAGGTGAACCCCACAGGGGGCTACATGGGACTCCCCTGCTGAACTACCACTCCCACTATGAGCATGAGAGTTGGAATTGGGAGTAGACCGGG